TGAAACTCAAGCCAAGCTGTAAGGACACTGACCTCCAATAAGACTGCAAAGTATGAATTACCTTGCATCTTTAAACAAAGGCACAGCACATGAAATATAAACAAAGTACATGATAGTATATTGATGGATTGTGGAAAATGAACGATTAATGGCCAACCCTGAATTAAACGGTTGCCTTTAGTAGGTGATTTGCTTCCTTAACTTCCTCATATGCTTCCTCTTAACTTTATTTATAAGTTCAGTTTTTGTCCAAATATAACACAAATGGGAAACAAAAAAATTGCTATCATTACACTGATGACTATACGTTTATATTTTGTTAGAAAATCAAAATGCAACTGTATGGTGTTGCTGCATAGGATAAATTGTTGGAATAACAACTCTAAACAGCAATATTATTCTGTTTAAATTATTTAAAGCTTTAAAAAATTTGTAAATTAGAGTAGTACAATTCTTCAAGGCACTATCCCATTAGTATTCATTGGCACCTCAACATGTAGTCACATAATATTAATGCCACCACAAATTGCTCACAGTTGCCTTCCTTCTATGCTTAACATTCTAGCTCAATAGCTTCTTATAATAAATTGCCACCTAAACAGTGCAATGTGTAGAAGTTAATTTTCAAAACAGCAAATCTACAAGTATGGCAAGAGTTTTGAAGAACAACTTCCAACTTTCCAGGTGATAAAGTGTTTCTTTTTAGCTTTAACTGGCATGTCTTGTATTTTATTTGCAGTTTCTAAACACTTGTTAGGGAGCCTTAACTATCAGGGAATGGTACCTTTGGATATGGACAGGGTGTTTAAATCTCCTAAAATTTGTATTGGATTTGGATTCCAATACCGTTCCTTAACCACCATCAATCACCACTGCTACCCCCACCCCTGACCCCGCCCCAATTCAAAGGTGATAGATGAATACTGTAGGAGCTGTATTTATTTCCCTAGGCTCAGGAATAGCAGCAAGTGCTAGCATCTTTTGCCAGGGTATTTGAAGCCTAATGGATTTCACCCTCCATCCCCAGATATCATAATTGTCACCCAACTCCACCACCTGCAGATCTCCTACTTCACCTTCCCACAAAGCTACAGATGGGAACCTATGCAGCACCACAGCTCAACAGTAACAACTAAATAGCATAAACCATGATGCTGACCATTTTGACTGAAAATTGAATTTCTCCCTCCATTGTGCTTTAAATTTTCGATTTTCCTCTCCAATATTGGGATAAACATTCTCTGAGTCAAGACCTTTTGGATGTACGCAAATGCCATTTGGTTGAGTCAGCCTCCTCTCACAGAGTTCTCTAAGTCCAAAAGGGAGACACAAGCATCCATTTTGAATAGAAACATTTGTGAATTTGTTAATCAGCTTGAACTCCATCAATAACATCACCTGTATAATTTTTTAAAAATACCTTCACTAAATACTATCATATCTTCTCCACATTCAGAGAAATTGCTATCAATAGATTATTATCAATGCCGTTGTATATTGCACAATTTATTTTCTTATTTTTTAAGTGAACCAAGGCTATTCTGAATTCAGCAAAAATTTAGATCTTTCCACTTGACAATAGCTTGAAGTCTCCGTAAAAACAAAATATAGTCCACTCTGAACCATAATGGCTGACCATAGTCCTTTTTCCATACATTTCTCAGTATAACATTAAAATTTTAATCAGTAGTTTTCTGTGTGATGATATTGCAGCTAGGCCTGGGTGCCTCGGAGGCTGAGAATTCCAAACACCTTTATTGAGAAGGGACTTTAAGATCAGGACATTTTTCCTTCTTTTAGATCTGGAAATTTTGTTTGCTTTTTGGGTCTGTTTCTTTTGTTTCTGCTTTTTTTAAAATTCTGGTTTTTGTAAACAAAAAGGCGTTGGATAATGGTGACTTCGTACACTTTTCACTGTACTCCTGTATTCCTAAATTTGAGTGCACATGACAATAAAATCTAATTCTAATTATAATTCCAAGACAGTTTGACTATAATCCTTTAATCTCTGTCTCCTATGTGGCTCCTTCTATGAAACTTGGCAGATCCAGGTATTGAAAGCATTTGACAACATTGCCCTTCTCCAACTTGAGGTTGCTCTTCAAAGCTATTAGGATCAATTATTTTTGAATACGTGTACATTTTGCCAGAATACTGCACTGGAATAAGAAAGATGCCAGGGAAACGTATGATTTATTTTTAAAAAGTTACCTATTAAATGGGGTAGAAAACCAATTTCTACAAAGGGGCATTCACTTTTCCTTTCCAGTTTCAGATCCACTAAGAATTAACTGCTATAGAATACTGAAGCAAGAAAAATAAATGTTAAAAGCAATTAGAACATAATAAGGTTGTAGACATGCTTGCTGAACCAATGGGTTTGGTTGCAAATGTTTCGTCACCCTGCTAGGTAGCATTGTCAGTGTGCCTCTACTGAAGCATCGGTGTTCTGTCCTGCTAGTTATTTATATGCCTCCGTTTGCTGGGTGGTTGGTATTACTTCTGGTTTTATTTCTCAGTGGTTTGTATACAGGGTCTAATTGAATGTGGTTGTTGATGGAGTTCCGGTTGGAATGCCAGGCCTCCAGGAATTCCCTGGCGTGTCTCTGTTTGGCTCGTGTGATTATCAATGTGTTGTCCCAGTCGAGTTTGTGTCCCTCGTTGTCCGTGTGCACTGAGACAAATGAGAATCAGTCATGTCTCTTTGTGGCTAATTGGTGTTCATCTTTTTGTATTGTCAATTTTCTTCTGGTTTGGCCTATGTAGTGTTTCTATGTGGTTCTTTGCTATCTCTTCAAGATAGTGCCCCTGTTTTAAACTAAAGCAAATTCTGTCTAGAATAAGATCTATTAATCAAGATTTGAAATGATGGTGAACTTCCTGCATTCTAGCAAAATGCTGTTGTCACAAAACTAATGAGGAAATAGCACAACTTGGACAGAAATGGTGGGATATTTACATTAATCCACAAACTTGGCTTGAAGTCACTGCAATGTTTGCATGTTATTAAGGACAAACACATTTAGGCTTGCCATCACTTGGAATGCACAATCTGACCAGCATACAGCCAATTAATACCTGATCCCTTCTGAAAAATGTTTCAACAGCATTCCTCAAATATTATCAATGAATGTTTCAGTCTCTTCACTAGTTTGAACTGGCTCAGTTTTTCCACTCCTTGTGGAGACGTAATGAACTAAATTACATGTGGGGAAATCAATGATTCAAACAAGGCTGTAATTCAAATAAGCAGTTCTGGTGGTGACATAAACCTATTGACCAATGTTGAAATAATTTGAGTCAGCGCAATTGTGAAATTAAACTATTCCTTTTAACTTGCTACTACACATTTTTATACAAATCAATTTTATTTGAAAACACCGCTGTTCAATTTATTTTAATCATTGATGTGCATCTTCTCAAAACAAAATATTATAAATTGATAGGGTACAAACAAGGATATGAGGCAGAGTTATAAACATCATTGCATGGTGGCATTATTTTACCATCATTGTGAATGAGTGAAAAATATACTATCACTGTAAGATATTCAGGCTGTTTCACAGATTAAAGCAGAGGATACTATACGCAGTATAAGGTAGATTACTCTCTGAGGTGCGACCTACAGATCGTACTGCACAGTAAATCAGATACACAAGATATTCTGGGTAGTAATACGACTCCAGCTGCAGTCTAACAGTAACAGGATATTAGCACAGGATACACAGAACTATTGGAAGAGTAACAGTGAATTAAGCGGCAGACTCCAAGTGAACATATGAACGACAAGGACGAAGCTTGAACGCTGCCATCAGATTACTAGAAATTGTCTGCCGGTTTTAGTTGTTGTAACTTACCTTAATGCTGGTCAGCGTCGCTTCGATTAATTTGACTGAAATCAGACAAAAAAGCTACGTTCTTCGTATAACAACAGTGCCTGAGACTAACTACAATCCAACTCCATAGCTGCCTGTTTGAACAATTCACTGAGAGTCAAGACAAACGATTAAACAGCAAGAGTTACATCATTTATTAGAGAAGGTTTTCATGTAAACGGTGTATGGGTTGGGCAGTTCGCCGGCAAAACCTTCCACTACAATGCGGCGGTTCGTGGTCATCGTAGTTTGACGACAGGGAGCAAAGTCTCCCCTATCCAATGTCACTGACGCTTCTCCGATCAAGCGGGACGCCCCCAACTTCAACCTCAAATAGGGGGCAAAAAATACAACACGTGGCATCATAAACATTTGCTTCCCAAACGGCCAAGTCTGGTCCATCACAATCAGAGTGAGTGGACTAAAAACTAACTTATCAGCACATTGCACAGGTTTAAAGGTCAGGTTTCTGGTGTTCAGGATGTCATTCCCTCGTCAATAAAGCAAATTCCAGTAGAGCGGCCGTTCATTTTAACCGATTTAAAAAGAAACGAATCAACCTTTTTTCTTTCAAAAATACACTGTATTCATCTTTGTATATGTACATAGTCACAAACGCAGTTCTGTTCCCTAAGGTAGAATACCAAGGAAACAAACAAACATAGAAGTTTGACTCTTAACTAAAAAGCATTTCTCACATACAGAGTCAACCTGTTACGGAACACCTACGGGACAGGTAAGTCTTAAACCTAATCCTTCTAGCCCAGAGGTAGGGTCACGACCACTACACCACAAAAGTCCTTATCAGGTTATTTTAAGAATGCTTTCACAATTGCTGATCGCCTGTCTATCTGAAATCCAATTGTACATTTTATTACAATATACCAAGTTAAAGGTCCCTGTTTGTAATCGGCGGGGAACCCTGCCTACATTGGAAAGGAAAGCCTATATGTAAAACCAAGGGAGGTGGATGTTAATTCCACATGACGTTATTATGTGATAATGGGTGGATGTTTTAGATACACCGATTATCTAATAATGCCGGCGGCTGCTGCGTGCACCTCCCGGCTGGGTGTGGCTGTGCAGGTTTTCACACCTTCCCCACGTCCATCCCCTCCGTCTCTTTAAATGTGGGGCCCCGATGATGCGGCGCATTCGATCCGTTTGCCGCAGACTCAGTGACTCACAACCATGCCCAGCATCGCCAGCAGCATCTCGTCCCAGCGCCGGATCTCCAGCCGGGTGGTACCCAGCTTCTCCAGCAGATCTGTCCACAGCAGCAGCTCCTGGAGCCGGGGCCCCTCCAGCTCCAGGAGCTCGATGAGCCTCCTGGGCAGCTCCCTGAGAGCGGCCGCTGCCTCCGGCACCGTGGGTTCCAGCGAGAAGCAGACCATGCAGGGTCTTAACTCCCGCCTGGCACTCTACCTGGAGAATGTCAGCTCCCTGGAGAACAGCAACCGGGAGCTGGAGCTCAAGATCAAAGCGTTGCTCGAAGAGAAAAAAACTGTTGCCAGGGACATCAACCCAATGTTAGCACAGGCGCATGCCCTGAATAAACAGGTACCCTCAAGTCGTGTTTGTTTTTTTTTATCAATAATTCAGTAACAGTTTTGAAGCAGACTTAAGCATGCGGTACAATCACTCTGATTCGCGGCTGTGTGATTAATCCTAATAATCTCTAAAAAAGTCACAAAAGAAATCGTACGACCATTAATTGCCTTGAGATATTCGTTTAGTGAGTAATCTCGTTTAGGGTAATTTTTACACCAGCTGGATGCTGAATCGGTCATCTTTTCTCTCCTTCTTAAACGCTGGACGTTGTTATTATTTATGCGGTGCCGGTAAATGTGTTGGCGGAGAAATGGATGAAGATATGCTGTTTGCCTGTCAATATCCCTGTCAATATCAGATCATTTCCCCGCGAGCGGGTCGGCCGTTTAATGTCATCCACCCCATTCCTTCGCCTAGTTTTGTCTGGTGAAGAAGTTTTTAAAAACAAATATGCAAAGGTCATCACCAGGCCAGAAATATGTTTACTTTCTTTCCCAAAATGTTTGCTCACTATCGGGACACAGATCATTGCTATTTCTGTTTAAGTCCAGAAAGCGAACTGCTTTCAAAAGTGGCCGGCTATATAACTATTGATTAGACTGAAAGCAAAAAACAAGTCGGTGGGGCAGGTCTGATAGCATCTGTCGAAAGAGAACGATGGAGTTAACCATTCGAATGCGGTATGACTCCTTCAGTGGGTCACCGGACCCGAAACGTTAACAAAAACAGAAGGTGCCTATGTTTCCAAAGCTCAGCAGGTCTGGCAGCATCTATGAAGGGAAAAAAACGTTTCGGGTCCGGTGACCCTTCTTCAGAACCCGAAACGTTAACCCTATCTCTACCAGACCTGCTGAGCTTCTCCAGCAATTTCTGCTTTTGTTCCTGATCTTCAGCGTTCGCAGTACTTTGTTTTATCTTAGACAGCAAGCAGCGGGTCAGATGAATTCAGTCAGATTGCCTCTTAATGGGGTAGTCAGAGGTAGTGCAGGTTCGGTTTCACACCAAGTGCCACGTCCGCTTATAACTAATATAACAATTTTCAGCTAGACAACAAATAGTTGTTTGTAAAGGGACATCTGATACTAAGTTTGCCTCCATCTTATTATGCCCTTCAGATCCAGGATTTTACAATGAAAAATGCTGTACTGATACTACAAATAGACAACGCAAGGCTCAGTGCTGAAGACTTCAAAATGAAGTTTGTACTAAACATTTCTAATTGTCTCTGCCTTTTAATCCTGTGGAAATTTGCGTTCTTACTTCGATTAAGTTATTTGTCGTGATGATACATCGCAACGTACAGTACGTATCGGTATCGGGCGTGTTATAGTTCGACGGGGTGCGAGTCTGTCCGCCTGTGTATTTTAACCTGACAGAAAGTATCTGGTTTAGGACGGAGTCTGAAGCGTCCGTTCGGCAAACTGTGGAGAATGACATCGACCGCCTGAGGCGCATCAAGATGGAATACGACGATAACGGCATCAGCCTGAGAAACGAAGGGGAGATGCTCACTGAGGAACTTCTCTTCCTGAAAAAGAATCACCAGGAGGTGAGAGTAGGGAACTGGCGCCACCAGCGCTCCCCACTGGCCAGACGTGGCCAACATGAATGGGCGTAGTCGGTGTCGTTTCTCCCCTTAGCCAATGGCAGCATCGAAATTAGTTCACTTGGCAACCAATTAGCACACGCCTCACATGCAGTATTAACGTTGATTGTCCCTTTGAATTGGTATTCTTGCTAATAGTCCTGACAAGTGCAAGCTGAGATGTTTTGACAAGATATATGTTTTTTTTTTTCACACATACTCAGATCTAAGTTATACCGAATTCTGATTTTGTTCTTTTTCTCCAGGGTGGCATCCCATTGCATTATACGATGAAAACCATTAATGTAGCTGCACAGTGCAGAAACAGACCTACACAGCTCAAATGTTTGACATGTCTGTTTATGATTTACCCATTTGTTTAACTCATCATATCTGTATATCCATCTATTCCATTCTCCTTCATCTTGTTTCTCTTTAATTGCTCCTATATTGTTCACATCAAAACCCGTTTGTGGTAATAAGATCTACAATTCCCTGACTAAAGAAGTTTCTTGCAAATTCCATTATGGTTTTATTTGTGACTATCTTAATGTATATTATCACCTTAGATTGTCCGCTTGTGCAGTTAAGTTAAAATCCCTGTATGTTTTCAAATTTGTAAATACTGGAAGAAAATGGATGATTCCTATGAATTATGGTAATTGCAGTGTTATGGAAGGGAAGCTTGGAATGATGAGAATTTCATGTTTTATCACAACTGAAATGTCAGAATCACTTTGTCATTTTTTTGGACAGGAAGTGAATGCCCTCAAATCACAGATTAGCAATAATAATATCACAGTGGAGACGGACTGTGTGACTCAAACTGATCTTACTAAGCGTCTTGAAGAAATCAGAAAGAATTATGAGGAAATAGTGAACCAAAACAAAAAAGACACAGAATTGTGGTTCAAGTCCCAGGTAAATTCCCTTAAAGGTGAAATATGTAATCAATATCTTTTGGTCTGAAACTTTTTCTACATAATATCCCATGGTATTCACATTCTTCTGTGACACTGGGGATAAAAATTAACATTTAGAAATTATCACAGAGGTGACAAGTCATGTTATACAAATGATGAATAAAACATACTACATCTAAACGAAATGAATCATAATTATGGCTTTGGAAAATGTAACAGTATTGTGAATTGTTAAATACTTCTGTTTTAATCATTATGAATATGACGTTGCATCAAGATTAGCCCTTTATGAATAATGGATTTGTTTGTCGACATAATTTATATTTATGATAATTGTCATTTTTCAAAAATTTACATACCTGGGGTCTTACATATGTACTTTCTTCATCAATTTCTATTAGAATTTGTAGCACTTTATTTTTACTACAGATGGAAACTATCACCGCTGCAGTACAGCAGACTGACAAAGAGATTGAAGCAGTCAAGGCAGAACTCAATAATAATCGACACATAGTACAATCCCTGGAGATAGAGCTTGAAACCCTAAGGAAACAGGTATGGGTGTTTTCACATATATAAAAATTGTACCACTTAAGGCAGAATCAGACAGCACAAGATCAAGCTTATTTATGCTGTAACGTGAATAATGGACAAACATTTAAAATGCAATATGGTGGAAAATAATTAAGAGACCAAAATGAAGCGGTTATATATATATGGAGTCTCTTGAAGACAGATGGAGGTTTAATCTTTTTAGGAAGTTTTACTTTAATTTTCTGGCATCTTGCAGTCAATATCATCTGGCTTCTGCCAAGGAAGTGAACAAACTGGTTTTACAGACAGTTTATTAGCGGTGTGCCTACGATTGCCAAGATCTTGCTTTGGGCTATTAGAAATCCCAAAGTTTAGTTGGGAGTTATAGTCTCTTGATCCTTTGGAATTGTTTAAAGGTTAGCACTCTCTCTCCTCCACACTGCCCACATATTGTTACAACGTGGTTGTAAATACATTGTTCACAGTCTATTAAAATAATGACGTCAGAACTGTAGTTAACATGAAGTTAATGAAACCTTATAAGTGAAAAATAGTTGTTTAAAATTTCTATTATTTTAATTAAAAAATACTGGCTAGAATTTATAAAGAATCTAAATAAGCAAATATTACAAATATAAAATGATAGTGAATCACAAAAAGTTTAGCTGCAGCTCACTGCAAATCTTCATTGCCATAAATTTGCATCTGATTATTTCTGGATTTTTCTTGGAAGTCTTTCTCAATTTAGGCCCTAAATGTAAAAACCAAAGAAAAGCAGATGCTGAAATCAGAAACAAAAATTGAAATTGCTGGAAAACCTCAGTAGTTCTGACAGCATCAGTGGACAGAAAGCAGAGTTAATGTTTTGGGTCCAGTGGCTCTTCTTCAGAACTGATTGTAGCCAGGAAAAGGTTAGTATATATGTTGAAGATGGGGTGGGGGTAAGGGTGTGAAGTAAATGGGTGGAGGTGTAGCCCAGAGAGAGAAAGAACAGCAATTGGGATGAAAAGGGATGGGTATAGGTCAACCTGGGAGAATGAATAGCTGCTAATGGGGATGATTAATAGCTGTCAATGGGTTGGTTCTAGTAGCAGCCCATGTGGTGACAAGGCCTGGAGTGGGAGGTTGGGGTAAGGAAATGGGAGAAGGTGCTCAGGCCCTTAAAGTTATTGAGACTGGCCCATTTCTTAGTCTGTCCAACAGTTGCTCTCTCTCTCCCCCTCTTTCTCTCTCCCTCTCGCCAGGAACCTTGTCCACTTATTGTATACTCCTCACCCATCCTCCAACCCATCTTCAGCACATACACCAAACTTTTCCTAGCTACAATCAGTTCTGAGGAAGGGCCACAGGACCCAAAATGTTAACTGTGCTTTCTCCACAGATGCTGCTAGAACTGCTGAGATTTTCCAGTAAATTCTGTTTTTTGTTTCTTAATTTAGATTTGCATTAATACAGAGATTAAGATACTGCTTGTGGCTGGTTTTATTCCATAAACTAACTTGGACCACTCTAGCTTATCGTTATAACTTCTCATTATCTTTGCAGAATATGGGACTGGAAAATATATTGCTGGACACTGAGCAAAGATATGATGTGGACTTCAATAAGATGCAAACAATTACCTCCAAATTGGAAGGCGATTTGTTCAATATGCATAATGATATGATGCTGAACAAGGAAAAATATGATTCTCTTATGCAAGCTAAACTGACTCTGGATGCAGAGCTTGCTGAGTACAGGCGTTTACTTAATGGGGAAACAAGGTACCATACATATAATGCTAAAGACAGTTATTAATGGAAAACTTATGGCAATGATATGATGAAATAATCCAAAAAGGGAAAATACAGATTGAACGTAGTTACCCCAAAACAAAGACTGCAGTTTTGGGTGAGTGAAAAGATTTGGTTACAGTCCAAAAGTGTATGCTGACATCAATTAATCTGTCCTAAATTTCTTAGATTTTTTGGTTTATTTTGGGGGAAGTTAATCCGTAAGCTCCTATTGTAACTTCAACAGAAACCCTTGTAAAATTATGCATCTGGCGTTTGCAGTGTTTTCCAAAATATCGGGGTAAATTGTGGAGCCCCTGTAAGATTTCATGAACTAAGTCTTTCTGTTTTCACTCACCTGGCAGATGTCTTTCCTTCAAGTTGGAGGTTTTGGGTTCAACTCCTCTCTAGAGGTAGAGAGGCAATGGCCTAGTGGTATTATAGCTGGACTGTTAATCTAGAGACCCAGATAATGTTCTGGGACCTGGGCTTGAATTCCGCCATGGCAGATGGTGGAATTTGAATTCAATAAATATCTGCAATTAAGAGTCAAATGATGACCATGAATCCATTGTCGATTGTCGGAAAGAACCCATCTGGTTCACTAATGTCCTCTAGGGAAGGAAATTGCCATCCTTACCTAGTCTGGCCTACATGTAACTCCAGACCCACAGCAATGTGGTTGACTCTTAACTGCCCTCTGGGCAATTAGGGATTGACATTAAATGCTGCCTGGCCAGCGACGCCCTCATCCTGTGAATGAATGAATAAAAAAAAATTCGCACTGAAGGGGTCTCCATTGTAAAATATGCTGTTTTTCAGTTGAGTCAATAAAATCAGGCATTATCTGCCTTGTATACACTCCTATGTAGGTGGGATTGACAGAAAGTAATGCATGAAATGCTATCCTGAGTTAAACCGTTTCAGTTTAGAATGAATATTATTTAACAAGACGGTAAGTTAACTGAACTTGCATATAAAGTTTGCTGTTAACTACTGAGCATGTGAATTTGTGACAAATAACTGTTCTTTTCTTTATAGCAGAAAGGTTGTTCATGTTCCTCCTCCACGTTCACCCTCTCCTCCTCGTAAGTATTTCTGTGTGATGTCTGTAATCAAAATCATATGAGAGATGTTTCTTTTTAGGTCCATATTATCCGGTACTCAACTCCCTTGGGTTAAATGCAAAATGTGCTTGATTTCTGTTCGTAAAGAATATGTTTATAATGTACATTTGCAAATTTATAAACAGTACATTTCAAGTTAATTATGGTGATAGTACTTGGCCTCATTTCTCATTGATTTTCCCCTGGTCTCCTTGACTTTCATACCATGAGTAGCCAGCTTTGCTAAACTACTTGTATGTGTGCAAGTCCTGACAGTGACACAGATGCAACTGTCCCTTCAGTTTTCCATCCACTCTGTGCACTAAGCACCTCCCCATATAGCATAGCTAGAATCAATCTGGGAAATTAACAGCATGAAGCCTGTATTCCACAGCAATGTATTTGGTCACTGTACCATGCCATAATAATCACAATATTTTGGAATTATGCTAGGGCAGACAATCTCAACAATCTGATACATCATATTTTAGAAACAGACAAAGAATTAGTTATCTAAAAGAAAACCTATTGAGATGAAGTGGATGCCTGCAGAAAGGAATTGATGGTAGCCAAACATATCATGTTCGTTTGTGCTCCTTTCAGCTCTACAGTGGGTTGGAAATCACAATTTTTAATCCAATTGGATTTCTGGCACAATTTGTTGTGCATTGTTGAATTAATTTTTCTACCATGCAAACTGCTGGCAGTGTGTAAAAAGCAAAACCACTGTTAGGTAGCAAGATAAACTACCTGATCAGTACTATTGAAACACACAAAGTTAGGCGGACAAGAGTAAGATGTTTAATTTAAATATTCTCTGATAATTAACTTTTCTGTAGCATATATCAGTGCCCTGTTCAAAAATGCATAAAATGCAGAAGTAGGCCATTCAGCCCATTGATGCTGCTCCATCACTCAGTGAGAACATGGCTGATATATGATAATCCTCAACTCTACTTTTCTGCCTTTACCTCATAACCCTTAATTCCCTTAAAATCTGTCTACCTCAGCTTTGACTACGCATAAAAACCCAGCCTCTACAGCCCTCTATGGTAAGGAATTCAACAAATTCAGTACCTTCTGAGAGAAGGAAGTCCTCCTCATCTGTCTTAAAAGGGTAACCTCTTTATTCTGAGATTAAGCCTGCTGGCCCAAGAAGCTCCCACAAAGAGAAATAACATTTCTACATCTACCCTGTCATCTCCTAAGAATCTTGTATGTTTTAATAAGGTCACCTCACTCAACCAAAACCACTCAACCTCTCCTCATAAAACAGACCCTCCAAACTCTGGATCAGCCTAGTGAACTTTCTCCGTACTGCCTCCAATGCCGGTATATCTTTCCTTAGAGAATGGGCCAAAGTTCTACACAGTATTCCAGCTGTCATCTGACAAGTGCGTTGAATACTCTTAACAAGAATTCCCCAGTTTTACACATCAGATTCCTGAAATAAAGGCCAACATTTCATTTGCCTTCCTATTACCTGCTGACCTTGGCTGCTAATTTTTTGTGATTTATACACGAGGATTTCCAAATCAATCTGTGATGTAGCTTTCTGCAGTCCTTCTCTAATATTTAGCTCCTCTATTCCTGCCCAAATTCATAATCTCACATTTTCCCACATTAGTTTGCAAGTTATTTTTCCCACTTACTTAACCAGCTTATATCCCTCTGCAGATTCTGACATCCTCACCGCTTGCTACATCTGCAAACTTTATTAATGTACATTCACTTTCCTCATCCAAGTCACTACTATATATATTGTAAATAATTGAGTTCCCAGCACTGAACCCCTATTGTATTACCACTAATTGCAGAGCCATCAGTGAATGTTAACTTCTGCTTAGTAAGTTGCACTAACTTTTTATTATCAAAGGAATTCCAGTCTCCGCCTCATAACATTCAATAACCTCTTCACCAACATCCCCCTTGACTACATCAAATTCAGCATTTTAATCATATCCATCACTAAATTCATCTACACAGCTCCATTTTCCTGGCCCAATGCTCATTGATATTGTCCACTTCTTTTCCCAGGTGCCAGTCTTCCTATATTAAAGTCATTTTCAGAACCCTTGTTCTCAAATCAACTCCAACCTTTCCAATCACTGTTGAATTATTAACTTATTTGTCTACTCCAATCTCCTTAAATATGTACTAATCCCTCACACATTGCTTTCTTCTCCATCACTCCCATGTTAAAATCCCGTCAGTTTGATTCTGTGACTGAATAAAAATACATTATCTTAAACTCATAAGCATCACTATGACTGTTTTTATGATATAATCTATCATGTTAGTCATACATGCCTTCAGACTTAAAGAGTTAAATGTCAATAACAAATTTCTTTTTAATCTTAACAGCTGAAGTCACAACAAGAAAAATTGTCAAAGTCATCACAACTACATTAGTTGATGGCAAGGTGGTTGATGAATCAAGTGAAGTTGAAGAAATTAGTGAGAAAAAGCATGTGGAAAAAATCTCTTCAATGTATTGTCAATGAACTAGTGAAATATTATGCATTATAAGGAAACTCTTATTGGGTATAATGGGTATTTGAAGCAATGAACTACTATGGTAACCTTGTATAAAGTAATTGAACTTTCTACTAATTATATAATTATGTAATTATATTCAATTACATAATGTCTAATAAAAGTCATATCGCACGTCCATTTGTATCGGTGTGCAAATCATTCCTCTTACAACCATCCAAGAGACAACATTTCATAAACAAACTCAAGGAAAGATCTGCATTAGTACCATTCTAGATCATAGAATCCCTACAGTGTGGAAACAGGCCCTTCAGCCCAACAAATCCACACCAACCCTCAGAGCATCCCACCCAGACCCATCCCCCTATAACCCACCTAATCTACACATGCCTGAACACTATGGGCAATTTAGCATGGCCAATCCACCTAGCCTGCACATCTTTGGACTGTGGGAGGAACCTGGAGAACGCACAGGAAACCCAAACAGATATGGGGAGAATGTGCAAACACCACACACACAGTTGCCCGAGGATGAAATTGAACCCAGGTCGCTGGCACTGTGAAGCAGCAGTGCTAACCACTTAGCCACCATACTGCTCCATTAGGTTGCATATAAATTCCATAATTATCATTTACATTAATACTAAAAAGAAATTGCCTCATTTACAAGATTGATGGTAGATTGTTTTATGTATAATAATTACTTGCATTGATACGGCACCTTTTTATATAAAGAAAATGTCTTGAGGTCCTTTGCAGATATATAATCAGACAAAAGCTGACACCAAGTTAAAGAAGGAAACACCAGAGTAGATTTGTATACTGTAAAGCTTCAAGCACATTGCAGATTCCAATCAAGCAGAAGCTTGGTTGAATTACTGCTGAAGATTTTAAAGGAATCGCGCTGCATCTGGCCTCACTGCAAAGCCAAGCATTGAACAGTCCAATTATTGCTGTGCAGACATTATCCCCATGAGGCAAGAGATCAACAAAAATAAAACTACTTTTCAGGAAATAATGAAGGCACTCTATGGCTATGTGAAGTGTGTGAAAATGCTGAATGGGCTAAATTGAATAAGCTTACCCAACGACAAGGGGCAAGTATTCATATTTTTGTCATTGATCTGTACAAATGTGCAGAGAACTGTGAATGTGTCATCTTAAAGGAAAAACAAATCAGGCAGAGAACTCATGCTAAAGTTTTATGTGAAACATTGACTATGTACAGTTGAGGGACGATTTACACAAAGTCAAAGCAAATGGGCAGTCAAGCTAAGGTCAAAACAAAACCAATTGCCTATTCAGAGTAATGAAGAGGCATCTCCCAGAAATGGCCAAGCTAGTGGAGCATGTTAAGCTAAAAGCAGAGAGGCATTTGTACAAAGGCAGGCGAGGGTGCATTGGCTGCTCCAGCTAACTTATATTGGAATGGTCAGAAAATAACACAAATGCAAAAATCCTGCCAAAGGGATTGAATGCTATTATTGGAAAAAGAAGTACCACTTGTTACAGCAAGAAGTTTATACAGAATAAGTCAAAAGAGAAGCCATCCGAGGATGGTGAGATTCATCAAATATCAATGACATGGTTTACGTTTCCTTGGCAAGATCAAGGAACCAAGCAGAAGCTACTAGGCTGTTGACATCCCTAGTAGAGGGAAACAAAACATACTTTAAGTTAGACACAGATGCAGCACTTGCAGTTCTTTCTAGTATTGAATTGTGGTAGGGGAAATATTTTCATCAGCCAACAAGCATAAAAATAAATGGGCCAAAAGGTACTGAACTCAAGGTCATAATAAAATGGAATGCAACTTCTCAATATAAAGAGAGAAGAATCACTAGAACCTTATATGTGATCCTTAACCACAACTCTTCGTGCTTAAACTTACAATGTACAGGGTAGAGGAATTGGAAAGTCAAGAAGCTCATTCAACAAACTTCAGAGTTGAAGTTCCACAGCTATTCTCAGCTCTATGAAAGCTTCAGACAGCATAACACATCACTCTATGTCCTGAAACAAAGCCAGAATATCTCTTCGCACCCAGAAATGATCCTCAATTATTCTCGTTAATGGTAAAGAAGAAAATTGACTGTTGAAGCAAAATATTGTGATAGATCCCATATCAATGTTCAATGGATTTATCAGAATCTATATAGCCTTACCCAGCTGAACAAAGTAACTGAACACAAAATTCATCCTGTGTCATCTGCAGACAAAAACATAGCAAATTTAGGAAACAGTTCAATTTTAGTGAAGCTACATGCAAATGATAGTTTTTGGCACCTGGCCTTGATGAAGACTCTTAAGTTGTTCACAACCTTCATTACGCTGTTTGAAATGTTTTGTTTTGACAAATTACCCTTCGGCATCCTGTCAGTGCTAGTTATCTAATTAGCAAGCTGTGCTGCAATGGTTCCAGGAAACAAGACTTACAAGCTCCTTGTAATGTGATTGAGATCCAAAGATTCCTGGGAATGGTAAGCCCAGCCAAAATACTCTTGCTCTAGCTATCATCAATGAACTACTGAACCAGCTACAATGGCAAGACAATACATGGCATTGGGAGCAAATACAGCAGAAATCTTTTGAGAAAAATCAATGCGATGCTATTATCACGTGATATTTTAGCTTACTAAGACCCAGAATTGCTTTTAATTATTGCTCAAATCTATCTTCTGCAAAACTGGGAGCCAAGGTCTTTCAGATTTAGACAGATGGAAAGGGTAGACCAATTTACTACACTTACTACATTTACTGTCACTGACAGAGAATGAACTGAGATATGCAGTGACAGAGGAAGAAACATTAGCTATCACATGGTGTGATGAATATATTCATGTGTGATTTATATTCATATTACATCATTTTTAGAGTTTGGATTTGAAACTAGGGGCCAATTTTGTTGGTTCTGTGAAGGGCTTAAAAAAAGGTCAGATGGTCCTCTCTGGTGACACAATCTAGGACATTACAGAGATCAGGTGACTGCAAACTCCCTGGAGTGTTAATAGAAGTATGGTTACACTGTAAACATTGAAAGGCATTAGCTCACTTTTGACTCAGAATAATCAATGATTGATTTTAGCTTAAAAAAAACTAGAGATTGAAAGTTTTTAGTCAGTTTTGGAAGATACCTGACTGGGGTCAGAAGCAAATACTGATTTCCTCTGAGAAAGAAGTATTGGAATTGCAGGGAAAGTTCAGTTATCTTGGTGTAAAAGTTTAGTTTGTGAAACTGCTAGACCAGGAATGCTCGGTCAGAAATCAGACAACTACTAAAAAACTCAGAAAGTCTAAACTTTCTATATTGTGAGCAATCATGTACGAAGATGATGCAGTTCATAGGGCAGCATGAGTGTCAGATGAAAAGCTTGAACAAAATTAATTTTTTTTTCTGGAATATCTCCATATCCCTTAATGTCATGAGTAACTTGAGAGCCCAGTAACTTCTCAATTTCTGTGTTGAATGCTTAATGATTGAAATTCCAGGTGGTAAAGGATAGAACTGGTATATGCAATCTATTTACAGAGGCACACATTAGATAGATGCATCTCTAAGGTAACCATAGTTCCAGTTTGTTCCTCTATATAAACATGAATATATGAACTAAGATCAAGAGTAGGCTATTCAACCCATCAAGCCTGCTCCACCATTCAACAAGTTCGTTGCTGATCGGGTTGCAATTTCAAATCTGCTTTTTCAAAGGTTTTCACAATGACCTTTGCTTAACAAGAATCTATTTACCTCCATCTTTAAAGTATTCAGGACTCTGCTACCACCATCTTTTCAGGAAAATTTCCAAAGACTCATCATAGGATCTTAGTAGGATAATAGTTTGGCACAGCAACGTGGGCAGAAGGGCCTGTACTGTGCTGTATTGTTCTATGTTCTATGTTCTATCCCCTAAGAGAAACTAGTTATAAAGTCATAGAGATGTACAGCATGGAAACAGACCGTTCAGTCCAACTCATCCATGCCGATCAGATATCCTAAATAAATCTAGACCCATTTGCCAGCATTTGGCCCATATCCTTCTAAACCCTTCCTATTCATATACCCATCCAGATGCCTTTTAAATGTTGTAATGGTACCAGCCTCTACTTGTCTAGTAGACCTTGCCTATTTACCCTATCCATGACTCTGATGATTTTATAAATCTCTATAAGCTCAACCCTCAGCTTCTAACACTCCAGGGAAAATAGCCCCAGCCTATGTAGCCTCTCCCTATAGCTCAAACCTTCAAATCTTGGCAACATCCTTGTAAATGTTTTCTGAACCATTTCACAACATCCTTTCTATAGCAAGGAGACCAGAATTGCATGTAGTGTCCCTAATCTCTTTTTTTTAAATGATGAGACACCTGATTTTTAATAGCAGTGCCTTGTTCTAAATTCTTCCATAAGAGGAAATGACATCTCCACGTCAATCCTGTTAAGACTCTTCAAGATGTTATATGTTTCAATCATGTCACTTCTCACATGTTATTGGAAACTGGGACCCCTTAAAAACCGAATTTTCCCAGTATTTTATGTCTTGAGTGAGATTCCATTTAACAGCTATCACAGCAGTAATTAACTTTGCAACTTTCTAGTATATGAAAACAGAAGGGAAAATTTACAAGAGGCACTGAAGTCACACTGCCACATAGAACCAGCATCAACAATTAATCTGGTGCCAAATATATCCTATTCTCACAAAACTGTTCTTTGAAAGAATGGTAAACTAACCCTCTGATGAAAGCGGCCAAGGGGACAATGGTCATCCTGACATCATGAATAGTTGTCTATGGTCATTGACCAAGAGGGTTTAGCCAGGTGATTGGCATCCATCCCATTTCACAGAATCCCTACAGTGTGGAAGCAGGCCATTTAGCCCATTAAGTCCATACCTTCCCTCCACAAAGCATCCCACACAGATCTACCTCACTTACCCTATCCCTGTAACCCTGCATTTCCCATGGCCAATCCACCTAAACTGCACATCTTTGGATTGTGAGAGGAAACTGGAGTATCTGGAGGAAACCCACGCAGACACAGGGAGAATTTGCAAACTTCACACAGACAGTTACCCAAGACTGGAATGGAACATGGGTCATTAACGCTGTGAAGCAACAATGCTAACCACTGAGCCACAGTGGCACCCCATATTCTCCATAAAAACCAAAAGACCTGTGGATG